TGAAATTACTACCATTCCTGTTTTGGAGGTTAACGATTTAAAGTCATTTATAAAAAAGTTAGTCAAGACTAAGAAACGATCGGAACCAGTCGTCAATGGTAAAGGAAACATAGCTACCATGACCACTGCTCGCCTGAAAAGCGGCACAGTGATCTGAAGAAAGACCAGAGTTTATCAAAACCCGAAGTTTTGTCCAGTAACAACAAAATGTTGGATTTTAGACATAGGTGTTGTAAAAACAAAACAGTTGTTTACCAAGACAGTAGTGATAAAAAACTAGGGAAAAAATGACCGAAAGAAAAACCAAAAAAGTTAACAAGTGTGACATCTCACACTTAAAAAAAAGACTAGTTCAAAGCGCCTTGCACAGTTTGAACGTTGTGAAAAACTTTCATCTACCCCAACTGATAGAGTTAAGAACAAAATTCTTGGTATTATTTAAAAAAAAATAGGTACAATCGTGTGATGTTCAAAAGTGCTTCTAAGGCGAGTAATAGTTGTAATCAAAATTATAAAGGTGTTCGTAAAATAATAATTAGGAACCTATCTAAAGTTACACCAAACTGTGACTCTCAGAAAGATAATAAACAGTAATTGCAGATACCTATAGCATTGGAAAATAAAACCGAAAAGAGTCCTTTCGACAATACTCTTAACAAATGTATGGGGCCCATCCAGAAGGATAAACAAGGAATAAACGAAAATAAGCTTCATAGTAAAGAAAACAGTAGAACTATCAAAATAAGCATTGAAGAACAAAGGCACAAAAGTATAAAACAATTCGCCAGGAATAAAAGGAAAGCCCTGAATAGTCGTGTTGCAGGAAAATAATCTATTGAACTAAAAAGAGACGTTACGACGATGAACTTAGCAAATGTATGGAATTAGCAACCGCAAGGAGAAAACTACCAACACAAAAAGTAAAATTAATTAAAAACTAAAAAACGAACAAAATTTTTTTGATCACATTAAGAGGCTTTTAAATGTTCTTAATGAATTGAATTTTAATAAAGGAAGAGAAGAAGACGAAGTGGTGTGAAGTGACACTGATATGTCAAAAGTTGTGTCATGAGCGAGCCTGTAGTATCGAAGGTTTGAGGTGCCGAGAAGCCTCGGTTACCAGCTAATTATGAAATAATTGTTTTAGTCAGTATTGGAGTTTGTTGACTCACATATAAATGTGTCAATACTTTTCAGTTGTGTATGGAAAATCTTCAACAAGCTCATTTTTAAGATATAAAGATTTAAAAATTCAGTTTGAACGCTATAGAGATATTACACTGGCGCTAAAAGCGTTAAAAACAGGTTGGCACTACAATATCTAGCAACTCGCTCTTCTCTAGTTTTTAAGATGTTTTTATAAAGTAAACCCCTGAGCATAATGCCGAGACATACGATGAAACACATTTGAGGTCGAAATCCAATTTCATAAACAAATTTGACCTCAAACTTTCAAAGTATACAATAGTAAGAGAATATGACTCTAAAGCTCAACAGAAGATAAGGTTTTCCTGCATTTACGCAAGCATAGAAGTAAACCATAAACTAGAGATGTTCTCGCTCAAACAGACCCAATACCAGAAATTACAACAGTTGTAGCTCATAGAATTACCATTAACTAGTAAACATAATGACAGTAGTAGATTCCTGTTATGGAGGCTGATAATTTAAGTTCGTTATTAGAACAATTTGAAGCCTTACCTGCAATGAGGGAGCCATCAATCAAGTTGAATAACTTTGTGAAGATAGAGACGCGTGAAATTGCTACCATTCCTGTTTTGGAGGCTAACGATTTAAAGTCATATATAGAAAAAGTTGGATCCATCGAAGAAGTCAAGACTCAGAAACGATCGGAACCGGTCATCAATGTTAAGGACAGAAAAGAAAACATACCTATCCAGAACCACTGCTTGTTTAAAAAGCGGCACAATGATCTGAAGAAAACGCAGAGCTTATCAAAACCGGAAGTGACAGTTGTAACGAACAAAAAATGAAAATAAAGGAACTTATGGAACCCAAAACTAAGAAAAAAATTTCAACGATGAACTTAACCAATATGTTGAATTAGTAATCGCAAAGAAAGATCCACCAACAAAAAAAAATAGAAAATTACTTTAAAGGAGTATACATTTATGAAGAGGTATTACTTCTAGTACCAATTCTGCACAAATAAGTTCCAAGGCGATATTCTACATGGTAGACAAAGCTATTGGGTGTGTTATAATACAAACAACAACATCTACATAAGAAAAACACGAAATTGCTGCACTAAAAGAGCCAACTATTAATTTGTATGACTTTGTGAACATAGAGTCATGTAAAAATGCAGTGATTCCTGTTATGGAGGCTGATAATTTAAATTCATTATTAGAACAATTCGAAGCCATGACTTCAGTAAGAGAGCCAACAATTAATTTGAATAACTTATTGAAGATAGAGATGCATCAAATTTCTACCATTCCTGTTTTGGAGTCTAACGATTTAGTCATTTATAGAAAAAGTTGAAGCCATCGAAAAAGTCAAGACTCAGAAACGATCGGAACCGGTCATCAATGTTAAGGACAGTAAAGAAAACATACGTATCCAAAACTACTGCTTGTTTAAAAACCGGCACAATGATCTGAAGAAAACGCAGAGATTATCAAAACCTGAAGTGACAATTGCAACGAACATAGAAAAGTTGAAGCCATCGAAAAAGTCAAGTCAAGACTCAGAAACGATCGGAACCGGTCATCAATGTTGAGGACAGTAACAATTGTCACGAACAAAAAATGAAAATACCGGAACTTTTGGAACCCAAAACTAAGAAAAGATCTTTCAACGATGAGCTAGACCAATGTATGGAATTACTAAGCGCAAATACAGATCCACCAACAAAAAGAAAGAAAATTACTTTAAAAGAGTATAAATTAAAAAGAGGTATTACTTCTAGTAACAATTCTGCACAAATAAGTGCAAAAGGCGTTATTCTGCATGCTAGACAAAGCTGTCAAGTTTTTATCAACAAACAACGGATCAAACGGTTTGTTGAACTCAGCCGAAAAGCTGAACAATGAGCAAAAACAACAACAACAAAAAAATGTTTGATCCAATTAAAGAGACTTCTAGTAATTTTTGAAGAATTTAAAAACAAAAGGCTGAAGCGAGTTGGAAGAGGAACGAAGATATAGTCAAAAGTAACATACCCAAAGTAGAGGATTTTCAGACACAAACTGTAATAAGTGACCCTGAAATATCAAGGGTTCGAGTTATAGAGTATCCTCAAAGCCGAAGAAGCTATCTGTATAGTATTACTTCACAATGGGCAAAAGGGCAAATGTAGACAGCAGATCATTCTGTCCCGGCAGTTTACATCAAACCTTTAGAAAACCTGCCACCTGGACACCGAATGCAATGGCCAACATGGAGATCATTGAGTCACTTACGCACTCTTGTTGGTCGCTGCAAAAGCATCATGGCAAACAGGGCTACACCAACCAGTCGGCAACGCGCTATGAATGTGGCTCTCCAATGAAAAAACAATTCCTCATTTGCCCCTCCAGCTGCACTGTAGTGGAGATGTGAAGAGCTACGCACAATTCCGTGGCTATGCCGGAATTTTGGGAGGATAAAATTTAGGGGTTGATACGACAAAGAATATCTACACCGCTGAGTAAGCCGACGGTTCCGTAACGATTCGATTCGTCGTCAAGGTGAGCATTTACTAACTGAATCTTTACTGTTCTAATTTTCCTAGCGCGGAAGTTGTCTTTAACAAAAAGGAAATGTGCTAGAAGCTTTACTTATAATTTTTTATTTTTGCTGATAATGTGTCCTTTACACAAAGAAATCTATCACTACGTCTACACAATATTTCTTAGTTGTAGGTACATTAAACTTCTTCCAACTTTCCAACTTGCTTAAACTAAACTCGTGAGTAACTTATGTTACAATGTTATCATGAGGTATATACCTGTATTATTTATTACAGATCATCCTATTCGTCGTCCTTCTCCTCGTCATCATCGAGCTCTTCCAGCGGTTGGAGTTAGTCGCAGAGCTCATGCAGCTCCTTCCAACCAGATGACAGTTCCAAATATTATTATCGGCGATATAGTGCGACAGGTAATTTAGGTGAATTTACTCTGTCACAATCTACACACAATAAATAATTATGCTCATTATTATTAATTAGTCCGTTGTAGTATTATTTTGAAGTATTCATTAAATATGAGAAGTCGCCCACTTCTCATATTTAATGAATACTTCAAAATCAGTATTCTAGGAACTGTATATCTTTTTTACGATCTTTTATTCTTAGAGAAACTTACAGACTAAAAACAATGTATGAAGTTAAGTGTATCAGATGTATGTACACTGTCAACATATGTCATAGCGTCATCGTATTTTCATTGTATGCATTTTGGTTTTGGTGAGAAATAAACTGTATTATTTTTATATTATACGTATTTACATTATTTTCAATATGTTATAATAGTACATTGCAGGCACCTAATTTAAATTTGATAATAACCACATTAAGGTTGTCTGTAGTAGCAATAAGACCGCATATTGTTATGTGGAAATGAATATAATATCTTCATCATCATATCGACATAGGCCTCACTTTAGGAGGTTTTGGTCTACTATAACACGCTTGTCCGTGTGGTGACGGATTAAGAATACGGTGTCACCACCCTTATTCATCACGTGCGTGTCATAAGAGCCAACTATGGTAGGGCTGCTAAACGTCCTGTTATATTCCGATGTCCCGGATAGGTCATCAATTTCCCTGTACATAAGTAAAATACAAGATCGCTAGATGGCGCTATCTGGCAAAGACGGAACCAAAAGAGCTCTGTGTAAAAATTTTGAAAATTAGTAGTTTTAAATAGTTATCATTATTGTTTTTACCTTAATATATTGTGAAATAGTAAATGAAAAGTGTGTGAATGTTAGCAAACTTGTATAATCAGTAGTACATAAAATAAAAGTGAACATTATAAAACTAAAAATATTTAATTATAAGTGAAAAAGTTAACATAAACAGTGAAAAATATCAATAAAAATTAATATAGTAACCTTCAATGTGTAATAAACGCTGAATAAATTGACAATTATAATAAAAAGTGATCTTGGTTACTGTGACAAAGTGTTAAGAATGTGGAAAAAATTCTTATGTTATGAATCATAGTAACCGACAAGTTCCTTTTTAAAAGTCACTTGCATTTAATGTAGTGCGTAATTTGACAAGATTTGCTAAGCTTCTTGTAGCGTACCGTGAACGCATGTCGATTTTACGGGTATAAGAAGAAGGGGGTGTCGGTTCGAACCACGCATGTCGATGTCTTTTTGTAGGACTATCCCATGTTTTCAAGTAAAAACTAACATTATTTGGTAGAACATTTAAACAACATCAAACTATAAATGCAAAAAGTAAGAACTGTGTAACTGTACTAAAAAGAAAATACATTACATTAATAACAGAGGGCGCTACTAAGAAACAACAAGCAAAAATATGGATTTCGAAATTAATAACATAACGTATCGCAAACCTCGTAGAACAAGCTCACTCAATGATCTATCTATAGAAAGTAATACAAATAAATATGAGGAATCATTGTTCAATTCAACCATAATGAGTATCCAACATAGCTTACAGAATCAAAGTGGAGCTGACATGGTAATAAGTGGTTTGAATGAAAAAATACAAGAATTAAGCATGCAATTGCTGAGCGCAAATCAAGAGATAGACAACTTAAACAGTGAAAATATGCAACTAAAAACTGATCTACAAAAGTCACTTAAAACAATAGATGCCTACAAAAAATTATGATCTTCCCCGCAATGTCCAACCTCGAGAACCCCCACATCAACACGTAAAAGAAAACTTACAAGGCGCGTAAATTTATCATCTTGTGACGCTGACACAAATGTTGTTCATTCGAATGAGAACATGCCCAAAGTCTTACAAAATAAACAAACGCAGACTACCCCTTCTTCTTCTTAGCGTGTCGATGACAATTCAAATTGAGTCGGCCCAAAATTTGGCGACGAGTTCGGCACTTTCAGTAGCCTCCATCAGTTCCTGTAATGTGCAAGTAACAGGACAGGCTGGACACGATATCAAGTGCCCCATAGTTTGTGGGGCAAGACCACATTTACACTCCAGGGCAGAGTCATCTATGAATCTCCACCTGAACAGGTTTTCTTTGCTTCGGCCTACCTGTGTACTACTACCCCTCATACTAAACTATTAGACGAGGACCGGCAATCAAAACTAACACCATGTAACAGTCTATTAAAATCACAAAAAGAAAAGGAACGTATGGCAAAAAATAAAATATGTATACTTAGCACAAATAATAGAAATAAGATATTGTCTGTAGCAGAAAAGACACTGAAGGGTTCAGAATTGTGCCATTACATAGTAACTAATGGAAATATACAATCTATGCTAAATAATTTGAAGGAGAAGCTGTGTAATTACACAATGAAAGACTATTGTTTAATTCTGCTGGGTGAGGATGACTATAGGATGACTAATATTTATTTTGACATAATATTGCATATAAGAAAGGTACTGCTTGAAATTACTCACACCAATACAATTATATGTACGCCAACTTATAAATTTACAAATTATTCTAATCTATACAATTCAAGAGTTGAAACTTTTAACAATCTACTATACCTAGACATACTGACTCATGAACATGCGTATTTTTTTGACTCAAACCAAAACCTAAGCTATGACGACACAATGTTTGATTATCGTACAGGCGTAATTAATAATTTTGGAATACTGACAATGTTTAGAGACATTTTTGATATGATTAATAATATTAATACCTATCTTCAATATTCTTACATACCTTTGACTGACAAACAATCTCCTGACGGAAAATCTAATGACACTAGTGATGTAAATATGCTTTACAATCAGAAAACAGCTTCGAATAACTGTCTTTTTCGAAACTAGACACATATACGTAATGCATCAAAATATAGCTGG